TTGATATTGCCAAAATAGAGTTTAATTTACCTCTGGGATTGCTATGAGATACTAATGTTAGGTCTTAGGATCAATATTTGATGAGCATTTGCCCACTTATTTAAATAAAGTTTGTTGAACACTTGGGCCATGTATAAATGGGATAACAATAGGGCTACAATTTTTATCATTGTCCACCTATAAAGTATAAAATAGATGATTTAGTGTTGATTCATTTTCTCAATGTTATAGTATGTGGTTTGTCTAACGGGCTTCTTTCTCAGTAAAAAGGACCATATCAAATATTGTGGTAAGTTGGATTGCAAATTATGAGATTCACTACAACATTAATAAACCAATCCTTAAAAAATTGTGTATATATAGCAATTAAAATGCTTTATACAAAAGGATTTTTAAAAAATTACATTGTCTATAGATCCACCAATGCCTCCTCCTAATGTTTCTTTAGATTTTAACCTACTAAATAATTCTAATTACCTTTTACCCTTCTAAAAGGAGGGGATGATATGAGGTTGGTTGCTCATTATAAAGTGATCGAATCAATAATACATATCATCTCTAAAATTCCCATTAAAGAAATTTGGCCAGACAAGCCAAAGAAAAAAAATTACACCATGTATTGTGAACCCCACCATTAACTAAGTCTGATTGGTGTTATTATTGTGTAACATCAAACAACTACAATTACTAGTTCAAAGTTTAAAGAGGATGAAAATTGAACAAAGAGAAAAGGAAAAACAAAAAACCCTAATATAAGAAAGTGGTTTGAATTTAAACCAATTTGAAAATTATCAAAATCCCACTATACAGCATCAAAACCATATAACTAAACTTCATGGTCTAAATTGTACAGAAATGATAGTCCAATGGACAGCCAAGATTTAGGATGGTAGTTCTTGCATGATACTCATCTGGAAGAAGGAGGTAGGGCAAGCACATTCCTGGGCAAGCCAGGCATTAGCCTGGCGAGTGCATTTGGGAGGGAATGAGCGAGCCCATGCCCAATTAACAAGCTGTGGTGAGACCATTAACAAACACATGGGATAACATTATTCGAGGATGACAGGGTTCTCTAGAACCTGGCAGCTGGCAACCAGGTTTTGGAGAACCTGGCAGTTGTCAGCCACGTTCTTGCAGAGAACCTAACTTGATTTGACACCTGCCGACTGCTGCCAACAGCTGGATCAAACAGCCCATTAAGAAAATATTAGAAAAGAATTCAGAGCTAAACTGGGCTAGAGTTGTTTTGCATGATCGATAAGTTCCTTCCACTTCTGTGATAGACATTATCCAGCTGCACCACCAACACAAGAAGTCTATGAACTGAACTTGAAAGCCAAACAAAAAGAGTTATAGATTTTAGGGCAATACTTTAAATTAATTGTACTTCAGTAGAAATAGGGTTTTGTCTCAATGTCAAGTGTTTCCGTTTGCGTTCGCTTCCGGCCGTGCAATTCCCGGGAGATCGCGAGCACTGGAGCGAAATCCAGCATTCACATCCTGGACGATCGATCCTTCGATTTCAAGGTGAGCGCCAGCTGCATTGGACGATTTACAATCGCGATTTCATTCAGGACGACAAAGAGGGAGCGATCGGGTTTTCTTTCGACAGGGTCTTCAACGAGGGATCGCCTCAAGGCGATGTCTTTGACTTCGTCGCGCTTCCAATTGTGCAGGGTAAGGTTTGATCGATTGCCTTCGCTTTGTGAGATTTAATTCGTTGCTAATTGGATTTTTAAACGCAGATGCTATGAATGCCATCAACGGGACGGTTCTTGCGTATGGACAGGTACTCTCACGAATCATTCATACGATGAGAGGTACCCATGTCACTGTTTTCTTCTCTCGTTTTTCGTTTCTAGACTGGTGCTGGAAAGACTTTCAGTATGGAGGTAACATTTCGGCTGTTCTTGCGGGTCATTTCGTGGAGAGATGTCGCAGGGCACTGATGATCCTGGCCAAGAGGGAATTCTACCGAGGGTGGCACGATGGATTTTCCAGTACATTGAGACTGCTGACCCGGTGTACGAGTTTATCATCAAGCTGTCCATGGTAAGGTGTTCGTATATCGTTTTGTATTTCTTATATTCGCTTGTGAATAGGTGGAGATCTACCTGGAGAGAATAAGGTCGAGGCTGCGATGGTTTTGAAGTTGCTCGAGACTTTAATACTTCGTCATTGTCATGCAGAGATCTTTTGGACTCGACCAAGGACAACCTTCAAGTAAAGGAAGATAAAACACGCGGAATATTTGTCGCTGGTGCTTCAGAGGTGAGGAAATCGCCCGTCTTAGATTAACTCGAGTGCTGATTGCTTAGTGACAGGTTTATCTTCAGTCGGAGGAAGAGATGCTCAAGACTGTGAAGGTATCTACAATTGATTGATTGCTGCTTTGGCCATGCTAACTTAAGCTTATGCACAGGCAGGAATCTTGAACAGAGCTGTGGGAGCGACGAGTATCCTGAGGCTTATCAAGACTTGCCGCGTGTGTCTCCTAACATTTCAGATATGAACGCCAATAGCAGCAGAAGCCACTGTGTGTTCTTGATAACCATTCAGCAAACGAACTCGGAGGACAGGAGGTCGAAGAAACGCTCCCTTCTTTTCGTGAGGGATAAGATCTTATTTATCATCGTCTCTTTGCAGCGTGAAAACCGGAAAGCTGTTCCTGGTAGACCTTGCTGGATCTGAGAAAGTGGAGAAAACATGCACCGAAGGAAAGCTCCTAACGGAGGCTAAGACAATCAACAAATCGTTGTCAGCTCTTGGAAATGTGATAAATGCTTTGACCTGTGGTAAGTAATCTTCGTGGCTGGCAAAAGAATGCAATCGTTTTTCGCAGAGAAAGCGTGCCATGTACCTTACCGTGACTCAAAGCTGACGAGGATTTTGCAAGAGTCCTTGGTAACTCTCGAGCGTTAACAGTAAATTCATATGTTCTTTTGATCTTATGCTGCGCAGGGTGGAAACTCACGGACGACTCTGCTTTGTTGCTGCTCTTCGGGCTCATATAATGCAGCCGAAACGCTCTCTACGCTACGCTTTGGACTAAGGTAAAAGCTTTCCAATTTTTAAGCAAGTGGCCGGCCTTTATGAATGCGAAGACAGGGCCAAGGAAATAAAAAACAAGCCCAGGGTCAACACTGAGAGATCAAGACATGATCTAGAGCAGGCACTCCTCAAAGCGGAGGGAGAATGCGAACGCTTGAGGTCTCAAGTGATAATGCTCAACGCTCGAATTCACTCGTTAACTGGAGAAGGTATAGAGCAATCTACGTGCTTAACGATCATTTAGACGGCTTTTTTTGCAGACAATCCAGCAGCCAAACTCGCGGTTGGGCGAGAAGCCAACAGTGGCATGCTTGAAAAGGTACTCTTTCTTTCTTGTGTTGTTTTTACTCACTGTCAGCGATAATCGTGTTTTTCCATCGTAGCTGAAGGTGGCTCTCTCCAAGAAGACCCCAAATCTGGACGACGTAGTGGAGATCGTCAGGCAGCTGTTTGAAGAGGAGGGCCTTCTTGGCGACTTCTCTGAAGTGCCGGACGCCGATCTCACGGCCGTTTTAAACGAGGAGATGAGAAGAACCTTGACTGTTATGCAAAACACGGTGGACGAGATCGCAGAAATATTGGAGAAGGTAAAGAAAAGCCAAGCTACGATACTCTTCTTTATGTCTTTCCTGGCCTTGCTTTTGCAGCTGCCCGGCAAGAGCGAAGTCCCCGAGTGCCGATGCGGTGGGAGGAAAGCTCCAGGTAGAGTTTTGCGATGGCTTTGCTCGAGAAACTTAAGTTTGTTTCCAATCCAATCCAGACACGCTAAAAGCCGCTTGCGTCCGGAGAGCTCAGATCATCCGGCCTGTCCGAGGCGGGACACATGGAGCCCGTGAGTCGACATGGAACCAAAACAACAAACTCGCAACGGAAAGCTTGATGGATTCAGCTGGCAACGTTTTGCAGCGCCTGATGATTGGCTGGTGGAAATGGCCAACGATGCCATTGCTGCGAGCGCGAGACAAAAGCACCACACTGTTTTGATTAAGAGCTCGTGATTGATCGAGAGGATAAGTTGGAAAATGATTTCACTTTTCTTCTGTTTAGAGATCCTCACAAATGCTAGCCACCTAAAGGAAAATTGCAATTTTGCTCTGCACTCTGCCATTTATGTCTGGCCTCACTTCAGTATTGCATTTGTTTAGCTTTATTATGTCGGGGCCAAATGGATGTTGTTATTGAATTGTGTGTTGAAATGGTATGAATTTTTTGTTTATATTGTGGTGGTTGAAGTATTTTATGATAGGAAATCTTTTATTTTCCAAGCTTTAAGCATATATTCTTCTAACTTCCCTATTTTTGTATTGTTAATTGTTATAAATTTCTTTTTTAATGCTTCTTTATCTATTTTTTCTTTTTTCACAATTGTTTTTCCTCAATTTTTCTCATTTTCTCCTTTTTGTCCCAACACTTCAAACTTTTTTTTTTTTGGAGGAGGGGGTAAAGAGGACAAACAAGAGTCCGGCCTTGACAATGGAGTAAGGATAAGGCATATAGTAATGAAGTGAGGATGAACAACATGGATTATAGAGTGAGGATGAGCATAGCAAGTCTGAACAGAACCCTATTTTAGATGCATGCACTTCCAACTCAAATGTACATGGCTGCTATGTCTAAGAGATGTCATTGTTGTGGTCCGAATAAAACGTGGGCTGCTACAGCTTACCTTAACTTATTCATTTACTTTGGACAGCTTATTACGTACAGATTCGAAATCTTGGACCAGAGCCATGCATGTGAAGGAATAGTGTTCCTGGTGGTGGTGTTCACCTTGTAAATTATGCTTTGCCTCTGTGGTCCATCTAAAATGGTGACAAGTATCTCTGACGAGGCCAACTGAGGCAGCCGAGATCACATGGGCGGACCACAGGTCTGAAAACACGCAGCAGTGCCTGCTGAAAACAATCAGTCGCCCTTGATATTCATGCTTTACAGTCCTATAAATGTGTGCTAGCATTGCTGTGACTTGCATAAGTCATTAGAACCATGCTTCTTCGTGCTCTAGCGCTCTTTGCATTGTGTTTGCTGGTATCGGCAACACCATCATCACCCCCTCCTCCTGGTTCATGTTCATCTGACGCTGACTGCCCGGAGGCATACCCCTGCTGTAGTCCATGGGGAAACTGTGGCAACGAAGCCCCATGGTGTTCATCGCCGCCTCCACCGCCTCCACCTTGCAAGTCTCCTTTATATGGTACTACTAGTGGTGGTACTCCCTTCAGTGGAAGTCTTACGAGTATGCCACTGGAGGGGCTACGCATAATCAGCGGTTGTGTGGTTGATGCCATTCAGTGGAAGTCTTCAGGCTCTTCCTGGACTCAAATGTATGGAACTAACTCCTGTTCAGGATGTTTACCAAGCCCGCCTCCGCAAGCTGGTCTGAGAGGCACACTCTACGAGGTCTTTTAAAGTTAACGTTTTTCTTACTTTATCAATTTCTTTCTGCAGATCTCTTTGAGCTCGGATGAGTACATTTACAAGGTATCGGGTACAACTGGAACAGACAGAACATGCGGTACTGGTTGGGCGGGAGAAGGTGTTCTCTCGCTGACTGTGCATGTCAAGAACACGAGAACCAGTGCAACCAAACCATATGGTCCATTTGGTAATTCGAAGAGTGGCACTTTCTTCGAAACAGCACCAGGCAACGTAGTCTCGTTCTTTGGATATGCAAGCCCCAGCTCATATATGAAAGGCATCGGTGTTATCTATTCGACGTGCCCATCCAGTTCTGTTCAAACCACCCCCATGGGGGCGTTTAGCATCATTTAAGGAGTTGCCAAACTATGGTGCTATGCCAAACTATGTAATACGGATTTGGTGCTATGCTAAACTATGTAATAAAGATTTTGGTGCTATACAAACTATGTATTATCTGAGCAGCTCGCAGGGCTCCAGAGAATACAAGTCTGACTGCTAGCAAAAATGATCTATCTATCTATATGCTATTTTGAGTGCCCATCCTGAAGCATGAGACGCATTTTTTACGCCGCTGTCATCTTCCATCGCCTCCAATGGCGTCTTCACTTCCGTGGTTGGGCGGGATCTTGTTCTAATGGTTCTTTGCTTCGTTTCGTTTATTCGTGCAATGTCTGAGAGATCGCGAGCGCTGGAGCGAAATCCAACCGCATTCGCATCCCGGACGATCGATCCTTCGATTTCAAGGTAAGCGCCAGCTGCATTGGACGATTTACAATCGCGCTTTCACTCAGGAGAGATCGGGTTTTCTTTAGACAGATCTCAAGCGGATGTTTTCGACTTCGTCGCGCTTCCTATTGTGCAGGGTAAGTTTTGATCGATGTCTGAGATTTACTCATGGAATTGTAAACACAGATGCTATGAATGCCATCAACGGTACGGTTCTTGCGTATGGACAGGTCCTCTCACGAATCATTCATGCGATGAGAGCTATCCATGTATCACAATGCTTTGTTTTCTTTTTTAGACTGGTGCTGCAATGACTTTCAGTATGGAGGTAGGGTTTTCGCCTTTGTTCTTATGGGTCATTTCGTGGAGAGAACTGATGACCCTGGCCAAGAGGGAATTCTACTGAGGGTGGCACGATGGATTTTCCAGTACATTCCAAAATGTATTAAGGTCTCGAGCAACTTCTATTCTCTCCACCTATTCACAAGCGATATAATAAATATTAAAACCTTACCCTGGACAGCTTGATGACAAACTCGTACACCGGGTCAGCAGTCTCTCTCGACCAAGGACAATCTTCAAGTAAAGGAAGATAAAACACGCGGAATATTTGTCGCTGGTGCTTCAGAGGTGACGAGAGCCCCCGTCTTAGATTAACTCGAGGGCTGATGGCTTAGTGACATCAATTGATTGATTGCTGCTTTGGCCATTCTAACTTAAAGCTTATACATAGGCAGGAATCTTGAATAGAACTGTGGGAGCGAGGCTTAACAAGACTTGCTGCGTGTGTCTCCTAACATTTCAGATATGAACGCCAATAGCAGCAGAAGCCACTGTGTGCTCTTGATAACCATTCAGCAAACGAACTCCAAGGACAGGAGGTAAAAGGAACGTTCCCTTCTTTACGTCTCTTATTTATCATCGTCTCTTGCAGCGTGAAAACCGGAAAGCTGTTCCTGGTAGACCTTGCTGGATCCGAGAAAGTGGAGAAAACATGTGCCAAAGGAAAGGAAAGCTCCTAACAGAGGCTAAGACGCTTTCAGCTCTTGGAAATGTGATAAATGCTTACCTGTGAGCTGCAATCGTTTTCTGTTTTAAGCGGTAATGCATATTATAACAGCATATTCTTTAGTCAACTGTCTTGACTCGTTGACTTGGCTCCCTTTTTGCAACCCCCTGACTCAAAGCTGACGAGGATTTTGCAAGAGTCCTTGGTAACTCTCGAGCGTTAACAGTAATTTCATGTCCTTTTGATCTTATGCCGCACAGGGTGGAAACTCAAGGACAAAATCTGCTTTATTGCTGCTCTTCGGGCTCATACAATGCAGCCGGAACGCTCTCTACGCTACGCTTTGGACACAAACCTTTTCCCATGGCTTTACATCTCGAGAAGTAGATTTAGTCGGTAGAAAACTTTCCCTTTATGAATGCGAAGACAGGGCCAAGGAAATAAAAAACAAACCCAGGGTCAACACTGAGAGATCAAGATATGATCCAGAGCAGTCACTGCTCAAAGCGGAGGGAGAATGCGAACGTTTGCATTCTCAAGTCTGCTCAACGCTCGAATTCACTTGTTAGATTGAAAAATCTACGCGCTTAACGATCATCTAGACGCAGACAATCCAGCAGCCAAACTCGCGGTTGGGCGAGAAGAGTGGCATGCTTCTTTTCTTGTTTTACTCACTGTCACCGGTAATCGTTTATTCATTGTAAGCTGAAGGTGCTCTCTCCAAGATCTGGACGACGTAGTGGAGATCGTCAGGCAGCTGTTTGAAGAGGAGGGCTTCTCTGAAGTCGGCTCACGGCATGAGAAGAACCTTGACTGTCATGCAAAACATGGTGGCAGAAATATTGGACAAGGTAAACAAAAGCCAAGCTACTAAACTCTCTCACTTTTGCAGCTGCCCGGCGAGAGCGAAGTCCCCGAGTGCCTATGCGGTGGGAGGAAAGCTCCAGGTAAATTTTACGATGGCTTTGCTCGAGAAACTTATCCAATCCAGACACGCTAAAAGCCGCTTGCGTCCGGAGAGCTCAGATAATCCGGCCCGTCTGAGGCGGGACACATGGAGCCCCTGAGTCGACATGGAACCAAAACAACAAACTCGCAACGGAAAGCTCGATGGATTCAGCTGGCACCATTTTGCAGCGCCTGATGATTGGCCTGTGGAAATGGCCAACGACGGCGTTGCTGCGAGCGCGCGAGACAAAAGCACAGCTCTCTTTTAATTGAGAGCCGGACTGGACTGGGCTGGACCACTTCCTCCTTCTTCACGTGAAACAAAACGCTTCGCGATCGATCGAGAGATAAGCTGGAAAAGAATTTCACTTGTTTTTTTTCCGTCTGATTTCACAAATGCTTGCTTCCTTTAAACTACAGATCCTCACAAATGCTAGAAGAACCAGCTTCGTCACTAACCTCTCGGAACGAACAAACCACCTAAAGGAAAACCGCTGCTTTTGCCTTGCTCCTGTTTTAGATACACGCATTTCCAACTCGAATGTACATGGCCGCCGCGTCTGATGAGGTACATGAGAGCTGCTACTGCTGCTGCTGCTGGATGATCTGCTGCTTACCTTATTCGTTTTCCTGTGTTTTTAGTGGTGATCGATCTCGCTCTCCTTCCTCAGGCCCGGAAGATCAAGGGAAGATCTTTGCGATGGCTTGAGGAGCGAGCGAGACCCCCACTTTACAACCCGATTCCTGTGGAGTTAAATGGAAGTCAGGGAAAGCTCCGGCACCTCTGAAGCTTTTGTGAGCTCGCGTTTGCGTGCTGCTGCTGATCTTGTTGCGTTACTGGCAGGAAAACCTCGGTTATCTGCGTCAGAAACACGGTGTAACAAAGCTGTAAAACTCTCTCCAGCAATGCAAGTTACCTGTTTTCTTCTCCTCTCTGCTTCCTCGGCCTAAAAAATCAAAAGAAAAGCATCATCGTCTTTAGTGTCTGGATCGATCACGAGTGATCCAATCTTACCTGCCATCTCTTCAATCTGGTATTTTCTTCCTTGAGCTGCGTAAGCTCGGCTTCTAGCTCCACTGTGTAAGCCTGCAAGTAAAACAAAGAAAAAAGGGTAGGAAAAAAGCCTCCTTGGTCAAAAGTGCGACTTACTTGCTTCCTCGCTCGTGACCGCGCCGCCGACTCCCTGTTCTTGATCATCCTCCTCTGCCGCCTCTCCACAGTCTTCTCCACGACGAGATCCAAGCTCCTCTTCTTGCCGGGAGCCTCCGGAGTCGCCATCCCGGGGGAGAGAGCCAGGCTGCTAGGCACGGCATCGTATGGAGCATCGAAAAACGCGCCGGGATGCCCCGCAGGGACGATCAAGTTCGGCCTTTTCGAGAGATCGGCAGCTTGGTGCATGAGCTGCTGCTGCTTCACCTGATAGTTGTACCAATCTGGATTTTGAGCCATGGAATCGATGCTGTTGGGTATGGTTCCTTGGGGGCCGATTGCCTGGACGACACCCCCGGAAGTAGCATCCGTGTCCTCCTTCACCACCCCGGCCCGGATGAGAAAGTCCTCCAAAGTCATCTCTCCATAAGAGAGATCTTGCTGCTGCTGCTGCTGCTTCTGGACCTGGATCTCCTTCCACACCTCGTCCACTGTTTTCTGGCTGAGAGTTCGAGGGATACTTACGCTGGATTGCCGCTGGAGAGAGGAGGGAGCGGGCGGGTTGTCGGTGGCGGTGGAGGTGGCGGTGCTGGTGTTGGTGTTGGCGGCGCCGCCCTGGTTCTCCTCGGCCGTCCATACGTTCTTCATGAACTCGTCCATGTTCATGCTGCCGATTTTTCCCTGGTCCAGCATTGAATTTTGGAGCTCCTCCAGTGTGAGCGAGTAAATTGATCCCTGGCGGCCCAGGCCGGAGCGCTGCGGGCCGACGCCTCCATTTGGAGGAGGATGGAGCATCGTCTTGGAAGAAGCCATGTCTTCTTCTTCCTCCTCTTTCTTCTTTGCTACTGAGAAAGATTGGAGCTCCTGAGTTCTGTCTAGCTCTCTCACTCACTCACCGATGAGACTGCCTTGATCGGCACTGAAGAAAGAAAAAAAACGCTGCATGATTTTTTTAAACTGGGAAGAAGACCAGGGACGAGAAGAAAAAAAGGGGAAGAAAGAGAAGAAAGGAGGGAGGATCTCAGATCACACGAGATGAGCTCCGGGGCATCGATCACAGGCAGCGCAGAGCTCCGGAGCATGCATCAGGAGCGCACAAGAGCCGGGAGGAAACCCTAGAAGGCGAGAGAAACAAGAGAGACAAGACACGCGCATACCTCACGCATTCCGGACGGGATCGGTGAGCGGCATCGGCATCGGGCGCACCGCCCAGCGCTGGAGCTCCTGCCCTGCCTCGCTCGCGAAATTAGGGTTACCGAGGAAGAAGAAGAGTACTTCAAAGGAAAACAAGTAAATCTAGCTTAAAAGGAAAAAAAGTGTAAGCGTTCTCGTGGCTTAGCCAAACTGCTAAAAGGTAACGTCATTAAACTGAATAATTTGCTAATAGCAAATTTAAAAAAAACAAAAAAAACACAGAACATTCATTCATTCGTGTTTACAAAGTCTATGTGAATCTTATCAATACTGTTAAGTACAACAATAGAATTTGCACACAAATAGAAGTTATGGTAATAATAGTGAACGTGTAAATTTTACCAGTTTTTCTAGCTTGGATTCTTTCTGAAATAGGAAAGTAACTAGCTAAATTCAAATGAGTTATAGATAAAGAAAGACTTCTCCTCCACAAAGAAAACAGCTCCATTCAAACAAATTGCATTGCAAACTCCACCAACACCTTTTGAATAGAGTGCAGAACAACACACCTGTCTGACCATCGGAGGCAACAGATACACCATGATTCCTAGCTGCTTATCCCATGGCCAAGTCTGCTTCAATCCAAACCTTAACCCTTTCAAATCCAAAGTGATCAGACCTGGATCATTCAAGTGATGTAGTGATGTGAGTAAAGCAAATGCAAAGTGGTATCTGGAGTGTATACGTGTACTTGTTGTGAACCATGTGTACACACTTCTCACCTCAATTTTTTTTTCTTCACAAGAACCAGACTGTATTCCTTGAAATGCCCATGCAAGAGATGTAACCAGCCCTGGAAATCTTGCAACCTCCATTGTGGGCACACTTTCATCTCTATCCAATTGAAAGTGCCCATTCACGCCGGGATGCTTGCCTGAGCCTGCTGGACGGCAAATCCTAGGGAATTGATCAATTCCCATCACTGTTTGCACACTGCTCTCATCCCACACACACACAGCTGCAGTGGCACTTAATTCATGTGTAAGGAATATACTTAGAATGTTCAAGTATATTGGATATTCTTTAATCTAATGGCTATGATTAAACTTTGTTTAATTATTTTGTAATCAGTGTTTAATTAATTTTCCTTCCTTATCACTATTTCTATGGCCAAAAAGGTATGAAGTTCTTTATTTTATCTCATGACTAGAACTTCAAGAGTAACAAGTAAAAAATTTATCAAACTATATATATTTCTAATAGGAATTTTGCCATCCTTTAGATCTCACTAGGAAGAATTACAACTCCCACTTTCTATATATATAATTATATATTATCCTCTAAGTTAAAAATATGTCTGAGCTATGTAAACCTAAAAGCTAAGTCATTAAACTTCTGAAAATAATATTATTGAGCTCTCCACACTCATGGTTTCTTTCTCAGTCTAGAGGGCATAAAAATTGTTCTAGCTTTTTGAACACTAAAGACTTCATAAAAATTTCATTAGAACAGTCTCAATGGAGTAAGGAGTTCTTACCTGAAGAGGGTAAGAGGCCATAGTGGCAACACCATTACCCACCATTTATCATGATGTGCAATGGCTAAGATATTAACATTAATATTTAACACTTAGCATTCATAGAACTAAAGACAAACCAGTCATAAAAATGAAATTGCATAAAAACTATAAAAAATAAAGGAAACCTGGTATAACAAATTCTTCAGTAATATAGTTGCCTTCTATGGTTAATTCTCTTAGAATGCATCATTTTTATTGACTCTTTGCTCTTGAAAAACTTAATATTCCCAAGTTTCTCTTCAGAATAAAGCATTCAAACATTCTTAAGCAAGTAATTATCATTAGCAAGCACAAACTCTAAAATATAATCATGCACTTTTCAACATAATAAAAATAAACAATGTATTTTTACCATGGTTGTGAACTTCAAGACATTTCTTGCCATTGAACAACAAAGTAGTTTTTCATGTAAACTGCAAGTACTTCTAGGAGATGTCCACAACACAGGTTGAGCTTGGTGTTATACTCTCTAGACAGGTCCTTGGAAAACTAGAACCATCCAGTCTGGTCAAGTTTCATTGCATATAGTCAATGAGTGTTTTCTAAAGCACCACCTAAGCACTATCATTCTTGAGGAATGAAAACTTCATAACAAGCTGTAGATGTGAGCAATCTAGTAGAATTATTTTGCAAGCCCAACAATTCAGTTTCCAGCACAAAAACCCTTAGTGTTCAAAAACACAGCACAATGATTTTAAGTGTTGTAAATTTTTTAAAACCTAAAATTTAATTCAAAACTTTTATATAAAAAAGAAAAGTATTTTAAGAATGAAAATAGATTGGATGTTGTATTTTTAATAAATTGTTCTATTTTCACAAAATAATCAAACTTAATTGATAATACCAAGTTGTCATTCAGACTTTGGTAAACTGTTAACCTATTGTGACAAGTGTGAAAATTCATTTGTGTTAACATTTTGATTTTGAGATGATACTAAATCTAATCTAGCATTGGAATATATACATTTTTACATTATCAAGAAAAGTCAATGTAGCTTCTTCATCAAAACTCAAAACACGCCATGCTAAATTTATTCTTTATAATTTGAATAAATGTAAAATGTTTGTCATTTTTTGGAAGTTCTAATATGCATTACATATTTGCTTTAATACATCAATTATAACATTTTGTCCTTTGTGAAAGATATTATCATTAGCTACAATCACACCATTAACATCCACTACAATATATATCATTTTAATCGAGTTTAATGGAACACAAAATAATATTAAAAATAAAGTACCATATCATATGTAAAGAGTTTTTTAAAAAACATTTAATTAATTATTTTGCACATAATGATTAAATATAATATTGCAATGCTTTTCTTAATATAAAAGATAACTAAAGTTAAATATAATTAGATATTCTATCTGTAGATCAGGGATAGAGTAATCAGTAAAAAATAATTACTTCAACATTTTGGATAAGTTCATTTTAAGTTTTTCAATATTGTAAATGTAGTTACACATACAAAGTTAATTATGCAAAAGTAAAGATGTTTATAATATTGCAACCTGAAAGTGTAAATCTTGACATTTTTCTATGTAGAGAAGTTTTTGCAACCATAGTACTTGAATATATATATATATTATGAATAAATCTTAGCTCAAAATTAATCAAGATAACTTTTGTGTGGAAGCAGCTCATATAAACCAAGTATGACATCATTACTATATCTGCACCAAAGTATTGCATAAATGTAATAAAAGTCCAAAAATCAAGCATTATATCTTTTTGTTGCATTTGTATGTAATGTGTGAGGTTATGATAGGCCTACTTGGCTTGATTTTTAAATATATTTATTTCTTTTTAATGTAATCTGTTACATTATAACCTAATCTAAGTACATTTTAATCATTAGATAATATGCTAGAATATCCAAGTATATTCTAAATGTATTGGAAATTTTGTAGAACCCGAAAGTTCATTGATCATCTATCATAATAAGGAGGAGTTGCCGAACTTTCTGGGCCACCAGATCCAGCCAATCACAGCCGCTTGATGGGGGTGTAACTGTAAAGGGGTTATTTTTTTAACCATGTTAGCGAATAATCATGCTGATGTTTGCTCTCGGCCAATGGGAGGTGGCCAAATTGGGTGGGGTGTGAGAAGAAGGTGCTACAACATGTGGCACATGCAAAGTGTTGGCCATGACTGCACCTGTTGCATGTGGAGTGAATTATTTTTATTTTGTAATGTTTTTTTAGGGTTTATGAAATGGTGAGACAGCCCCTGCTACTGCTGCCGATTCACAATCCAAATCTGAGGCACTGTTTCAATACCACTGGAATGAACCGTGTCTTGGTACTGTCTGTGTCCGCGCTTTCTAATGTGTCCATTTTACTTTCTTTTCTTCTTCTCGAGCACAACTCTTGGTATCTTTTCTTGCTGTTTTCGTTCTTTTCCTGATTTTGTTTTTGCAATACTGTGTGCTGTTTTTTTTCCCGAGAACCCCATCACAAGTTTTCACTTTCTTATGCTCTCAACTTAACAGTTTTCTTTTCTTTTCTGGTTTTTCTTTCTGCAGGAGAAATACTGGCAATGAGACCATGATGCTCAAATCTCAAAGCTATTCCTTGTGGGTCTGATGCCTCTATGGAGCAAAAGACCAAGAAGTGATATGTCTAGCTTTGCTTTGACAATCTTAAACACTCACTCAAGCTTTTTTCGTTTTGTTCTTCTTTTCTTAGATGAATATTTGAACCAAGAAGCAGAGAATGCAAAGACATTGTCTCTGCGACAGCACATCATGTCCCCCCATGCTTCCGGAACTCTTTTTTTAACACTAATGTGTTTCCCGAGAGAGCACTTACTGAGTGATCAGTTCTCTCATCGAGTGATCGGTTCATCGGGAAGCTCTTCCTGAGTGATCGGTTCATCACTATATTCAAGAGACTATGGTATTGTTTTGGCAAATTTTTCTCTTTGCAAGAGGAAAGCACTAAGAGAAGTTCAGGCACTTTTCTGTCTTGAGTTGGCTTTTTTCTTTCAGTATTACCACTGGCTTCCTCAAAACTTATCCAGCTTCCAGGTTACCATGAAAATGTAGTGCACTACTTCTCTTTATGGTTTGAGAATGACTTTTTATATATCCAAATGGAGCTATGCGAGATGAATCTACAAGATGAGATGGACATTCACAAAGAACAAGCTGACCGAGGCGATGTTTCAAGTAAGCAGCTCAATTGTGTTCTTTTCTTATTTTGTTATGCATGACAGCTCTTAAACACTTTGAAGCACTTACACTTACATGGCCTCACTCATCTGGATGTGAAGCCCGACAAGATCTACATCCACAATAGTGTCTAAAAGATTGGCAACTTAGGCCTCACTAGTCAAATTTATGGAACCATTTCCAACGAGGATGGCAACTTGAGATATCTCCCGATGGAGCTCATCAACAATGATCACAGCCACCTTGACAAAGCTAACATGTTTTCCCTAGGGGCAACATTCTACAAGCTCGCGAGATACTCACCACCACTGGCGTCTGGTATCAAGCCATCCACCAGGGAAAGCTCGCTCTTCTTCCTAGATTCTCTC